GTCTCTAAGCGAAGCTTGTTGAGACGCATATCCTTCGTGGTTGTAACATTGAAGGAACTTTTGGTTGTCCGTCTTGCGTATAGGTTTCGTTTTTTAACTTTCGTTTTCACAAGTAGCATGGCCTGCGGACACTATCTCAGATGCAATATAAGTAGTTGTGATTCAAAGTTGACAGAAGAGCGTACCGCCTCTTAGATGTGTGTGATTCATACGTGTTATGTCGTCCAAGACGAATGGTACGGGCATTGCTATCCTACTACGACCGACAGAAGAAACGTAGATCAATCATGACAGAAGTTTGTCAACGAGAATAAGGTTGGGAATTTCTTTGTTGGCTAGTGGTCGGTCCCGAATTGAAGGCAACATGAGTGGGTGAGCACTCTAGCTAGTCCTAATCGCACGCATATATCCATGATCACCCTTTTGAATACGCGGAACCGAGGATGCGCAGTAGTGCAGTAAGCACAGCCATGAAAAAAGTCGTCCAAGTCCCGAAAGTTGCGGCTCAGAGATGTTAATGAATAGCGAAGTACTGGGATGCAACACCTTGCTGTGAGAGGCTTCTTCTGTCGGTTCAGGCGACGACAGCAAACATTGTGTATGATTATGCATCATGCGTGATCAACATGAAGCTGAAGCTTATGAAGGGTACTAGAGACATTGGCTATCGAAAACAGGGAGTCGCGATGCTTCAAGGATCCGGAGAAACGGGCCCATTCTTGTGTTCGATGGAAGCCCCGGTACTGGAACGCGAGCAGATATTGAAAAACGAAGAAACATTGACTGTATTCTGGGCTTGAATCCTGATTAGCACGCGAGGCTGTTGGTATGGGTAAGCACTGCCTTTTCTGTGTTGTTGAGAATTCACATACCTTTGTCCTTCCAAGCTCTACACGTTCATATCCCTACGCCGTGTTGTACCAAATTGTCCTGCGTCAACGCGCCAGGGCTGTATAGAGAAAAACAACGTGACGGGGTGGCTGAAAACTAAGAGAGCCTGAAGCGCAGTGTTCGATCTCGGGTGGTGTATCAGTTGAGACATGCACGTGTTACGATAGCTGGGTTCGACTCCCAGTGAGGGTCTTATTTTGGGAGTTTCTTTTTCTTTTTCTCAATATTAAAATTTCCTTCTTCAAATTCGGGGTCCACCCATTGTTCCTTCCATGCTTACTATTTCAGATCTCGACTCTATTGAGCACTGCAAGGTAGTGTCGTTTAGAAAACGCGACGCCTGTGGGCAGTGACATACTTGATGATATCCTTGTATAATCTACGATAGTGCATTGGAGGGTACGCGGTGAAGCGATACTTTTTCTTTTTTTTCCATGACACAAGATCTCATGAACCAACGAACAAAAAGCAAACTGATGTGATTTTACCAATATTGATTGGTAACGACAAGGGAGCACTCCAGGGACAATATGAGCCCTATGAAGAGTGAGCTCGCCAAGCGACCTCGGTCATGCTCTGACTGGTACTCATAGCGGCGCGGTTATATCCACAATATCAATGGTCTAAACAGTTAGGCGGAGGCAGGCCGGAAGTGTCGAGCAAGTTCTTGGGGTCATACAAGTGAGAAAGACGTTATATATCCATGAACAAGGACGGTGGATCACGAGACATGAGCATATAGATTGAACAATGCAGAGAATATCCCCAAGCGGTGCGGTGGGTCCGAATTAAACTAGGTGCTGTTCAAGCGGCGAAGTGAAGTCGAACCTGAATGAATAGAGTATGTGGGCTGGTACGTAGTCTCAATAAGAAGTCGCTACGATCGACTCTTATACTAAGAGCTAACACCTAAAGTTGAGGATGGCACATGGATAGGTATAGCACGGCACAGCTCTAGGGTACACGCCCGCGAGTGTAACCTATTATCCCGCTTTCCTGTGCCCGTAGCACTAACACATCGAGAGGCGAAGCGTAAAAAGAAGTGCATACCCTTACATACCGGCGACCGTGGAAACGTTTGTGGTCTGGGTATTGCAGGAACTCCATGTGACGATATCCAAGAGCCAGATAGCGAGGGCGACGAAACTGAACCAGATGCGCAAGTCCTTCTGCATTTGTGGCGTGCACCTGATATTGTTGGCAAGGAGAACCATGAAGAAAGCTGAGATCATCCCAGAAACTGCAATTTATGTATGAATGGCAAGGGGTAACACCTTGATGGTTAAAAGAGATTTCTCTAGTGAGTATGTAATCTCTGCGACGACGGACTAGCAACGCATAGAATATGATACCAGCCAATCAATCAGAGTCACCGCCGAAGGGTAGACATACCCTCGTAGGTGAAGAATGCTCCGCACACAGATAGGTAGCGCTGAAATCTTTGCTACTCTTCTTTCATACGCATGGAGGCGTGCGTGCTTAACTGGGTACCGGCCACTCAATGACAGTCTCCATTGGGATCCTTCTCCAACCATGCACGCCCTCAAATGGATGCAACGAACACATTCGTCGTTGAGTCCAGGCCGACTTAACTGCCTCGTTGCGTAAGACTTTAAGATTTGCTGAGTATGTCGATGTTCCGCGTGACGAGGACATATCATAATATAGGACCGGCTACATTGGAATATGGTTGCAGCTTCCGGAAGTGGAGCGATAAGCGAGGAGATGACAAAAGGCCCTCCTCAGTCGTGCCCTTCTACTGGGGGTCGAGGTGTCTCTCTTCGAATTCGGCATACGGAGGGATACCCGGTCCGCTGAACGTGGTCGAGGGCTTCAGATATCGAAGCCAGGAAGCTTCTTCGACCATCTACTTCACGGAACTGGACTATATGCGCGGGATTCTTCCTAACGAAGTTGTCATGAAGAGCAGAACGCAATGTAAGAAGGATTGTGTTAGGCACGTGTGGATTGAGGATGACGGAACCACACCAGGGTGAAGGAAAGGGGTGGGAAAATTCGACAGTGTACAACGAGCCCTGGCTTGATGATCCAGGCTGTCAATCTCTCCATCCATAAGGTTGCTACACGAAAAGTAGTGTTACAGTAAGACTCGACGACCTTGCTGAAATGCGCACCTTACGCTCTCTCTAAAAATAAAGATCTCTGTACTTCCGATATGATTGAATTGTCGAAACAGATGTCGAGGACCACGTACGAATCACACGAATGTCCTCTATACAGATGCCTCGCTCCGAGAAAGGGAGAGACCCGTGAAAGAGCTCTAGCATGGAAAATCGCGGCCCCGGGAAAGACACCGATTGAATACACTGTGTGCGAACATTATTCCAAGAGTCGCCTGCCCGTATCACAAAAACGTACGGTCGTCGAAGGAAGAGGCGACAAACAACATTATCAGTTCCTGGAGTGCCTGCCGTCCGTTCGGACAATAGCTTGACAGATAACGCGTACGGCTGTGAGCTAGCGACGACTGTTCCCGGAGAGATGTCCGTCTCGAGCGGTGTCCGCTGAAAAGGGCGCTTTCTTGAGCTGTGCCCGGAACTAACAGCAACCCAGCTGCACGCTAGGAGCCGCATGTCGCAAAAAGCGCTGGGATAGTCCGATGAGAATGAGGCACAACATATGGTGAAGGGACATCGGTGATTGGGATAGAGGCGCGAAAAGTTCCTGTGGACTAAGCCTGTGGTTTGATGGCCCGGTTCCGTGAGTCCATGATCCTCCCTTGATCGAGGGCACCGTTAGAAAATTTCAGGACGGCACGGTGATAGAGCTCACTGTAAGGCTTTCAATAATCAAAAGAACATCTATCCGTAGTCTCGGGCGTACGGTTCGTTCCTTTCCGATGATTGCCCCTTAACATGTGTAGGACCGGAGCGTCTGCCGAAGCTCGTTAGGACCCTGGTAAAAGATGGAATAGTAAGGAAACTTACCTCGCTCTCTCAAAAACTAGCCGGGAGGTCAGAGGACCGAAAGAATAGCCCTGTTGAAGGCTTCCTCTCTCATGACATTGTCCGTCCATCATTTTCCGAAGGTCAGAGAGATATAACAGGAAAGGAGAGCCAATGAAAGAAAGGACGACACACGGTAAACGATGAGAAAGAGAAGAGTTACTGATAGAGAACCGCCTAGGCATTCGCGCATGACCACCAAGTGAATACTCGACGGTCCCACGTCCATTACTCGGCGGCATTCCCTCGTTGAAAATCCTGGGATTGTCCCACATCGTCCAGGAATAGTGACAGGATACACATGTCCCGCCAGGATAAGACGGTTCTTGACCTGCCAGATCATCACCCAAACGATGCCTCCCCCGCCCACTACCCCAGCACTGATCGTCATTATAGCAGCAATAACCTTGCTACTCATCGCCGTGCTGGTGGTGATGAAAATGCGCCAAAGGAGGACACGGTTACTGGGGTGGTCTGGTGACCCGTTGTCGGAAACGCGGTTGGATGAGAACGAGGCGCGCCGCGGGCAGGAAATGAGTGAAGAGGGAAAATTGCCTCTGGTACAGAACGGTACGAGTCCGTCGTGGTCTAGCGGTATGAATGAGCACTGATTCTGCTGCAGTCGTTTAAAATAACGCACCTTCCGCCATGTTACACCCACCACTTGTTTGCTGTTGGACATGCATGCTGAGTTTCGGCACTAGAATATAGGAAGCTTATGCCCACAATAGCTCGATAAGCGTTCCAAGTTCACTCTTTACTGTTCACTCTTTCCCACCATTGATACCTTCTTTTTCCACCACGTTCGTGAGCCTGTGTTATAAATGTAGATTATGCTGTACAAATTCGTGTACCTTCGATATCGCCATGGCCCCCTGTAACATATGAAAAAATATTCGCAGAACAAAATGACTAAGGGCCGACCTGACTAAATTCAGACTCGATGCAGCACACCTGCGCAACTTTTTCTTGGCTCTACTAGTAGGGGTTGAATATCCAAAGTTGAAGCACCAAACGCCTCAATCCATGATGATAGTAGTTGTTATCAGTGGCGACCCCCAAGCATGAGTATTGAGCCGTGACTTTTCCTAGACGTCGTGTTCGTCACTGTATTATAGACCTCGTCACCTCGTTGATCACATATCTCTGGTAGTATATCGGTTAGTACACGCGCCTGTCATTATCATAATCTCTAGATCGCGCGAAAGCTGGGTTCGACTCCCAGCCAGAGAGCAGGAATAGATAAACCGCTTTCTTTTTTCGATTTTGACTAGGATAGTCTTAACTTTTCAGTGTTTCACTGGTTAGTTGAGAGTCTTGAGATTCCTTACGAAATTGACGTCGCAAATGGAGATTTTAGGTTGCACATGAAATCCAACTAGGTGTGGGGGTTTCGGACCAGTAATTTATGTACCCCGCTAGAAGGGTTTTAGTCGGGATTAAAGTTCCCTGTCATGTGATACGAGTAGCTATATCCTCAATATATTCAGCCTTATTGTATTCATATTTATTTACAATGTAAAACATATCTCTGTAGTGATTTTCAGCGAGTGATACTGGAAAAAGTGTAATACAATACGAAGATGAAGGCGCTTGGAAAAATTTGCGAGCGCAGTGCATCAGGCCTGTGGTGATCTAAGTAGTAGGCTAAGAAACAGTAAATTACCGCATCAAAACACCCCGCTCACAGAAGCGTCGGTACAAAACTGCCATACATTACACCCCTGGAGGTTTATGTGCAGCCCTATCTAAGAGATTCGCAAGGATTTAGGCTCTTGCTACTTGAAGCAATGAATTATGCTTAGTCTATTCCGCAAGAGTGAGCTAGTAGGTCGCCGAGGTGCAACTTCATACAGATTGCAGCGACCGGTCTGACGCTCTAGAAGATAGATTCCTGGAGACACGATGGTGTTCACCGCGTTACTAGTGTTTCACCTTTTGGTAACGAGCCAAGATCGGTAAATTTGATATGGAAAGCCTGCCACTGAGTTCTAGTGCCATGTAACATTATTCAGGGCCCAAGTTCCCAGCCATACAACGACCTGAAAATAGAATTATAGGAAATGTGAGTATTAGTGCGCAAACAATCAATCAAATACACACCAAACACCTGAGAGGACGCGGATGTGTTTGAAAACACTAAACCGCAGTCGCGTGCGTTCAGTTAAGAAAGAGGTAATTGGAGTGAAGAAATGCCCGCTATACTTAGTAGCTTATACACGGCGGCGCATTCCATCCTTAGAGTGCTATAAGGCGCCTGTCACGGTTCTACAGAGCACCATCGTTTCAGTATGTACGCCAGAATTGCCGGAAGTAAAAGGACGGCACGCTGTAAAGAGTCGCCAGCACGTGCCAGGACATTCGCATAGATGATACTGAAATGAAGCTCAGCTGCCGATCCGCCATTTTGTGTCATGAGTCTAGGAAAGAGCGGGTCATACACACCAAATTTATGCCTTGCGGAGGAGGTTAGCTAAAAGGGTACATATGAAAATCTGATACAGGGATCCTAGATGGTGGTGAACAGAGCGGAATTGCCGATATGCATTTATAAAGGTGACATCGGAGCACTTTGCATTATTTTTGGATCACTGCCTCGTTGGAATTTGGTTAGAACGAACAGAATTCTGAAGACCTCGAAAAGTCAGATACGAGGGCGACGAAAGAGAAATATATGACTCCCGGCAAGCAGCGACGGCCTTCCCAAGGACGTGGAACTATACGTCGGCGTATGCCTGCCGCAAAGATAGCGCTGTCGAGAGACTGACAGGCCGACCGGCGTGTTCAATGCCTGCCGGGAAATCTGGTCTTCGCCAGGCAGTCGAAGCTTACAGTAGGCATTAGTACTTACATATCATACCCGAAAGTATTTTTGGAAAATAAGATTGCCGTCCAAGGAATGTAATTACAGCCCTAGGTTCCTATCATTCGAGAGCGACGGTGGTGAAACTAAGCGATGATTGCCTAGCGGTTGATTCCAACCTAATACCGCCAGTCGCTCGTATCTCACTCGGAAACAGTTTCACTGTTGTCCGCTGTACGGTTCAATATGAAAATAAGGCCATCAATATTAGAGGTATCTAGAAATCTTGTTGTTAATTTCAATGGAATGTCAGATACACCTTCGAGAATCTGTCTTCCATGTTCCGGTCATCTCGGGCAAGGCTCGATTCGCAGGGAATGTATCCGGCACGTAAGCGTCTTTGACTCAAGAAGCCAAGCGATCGCTCTCCGTGTACGGGAACATTTCAGATGACCCTTAAGAACAGTCTGGCAGCTCAACGAATACTCACAGAGAAAGCAACAGTTCTATGGCACTGGCCATTGGGAACAGGAAGCCTCTTAGACTGTTTATTATTGTATTGGGACCAGAATAGGTGCCCTACTCGCCGGATGCGTGATTAAATACCGTGGTTGTACGATTTTCCCGACTGCTATATATTATTGGATTCGTTTCCCCGAACCCTTTAGACGTCTCCGGTTATTAGAAATGCACGGCCACATACCCAAAACCTAATATGCAAAACTACCGATTGTTGAAGATACCGGGCAAATCTTTCATCTCTAAAATGCAAACTCCAGCCTCTTCCAGCTCAGCTTCCGTCTCAGCTGCAACAGCGTTCGCTGTAGTGGTCTCCTCTCCGAAGAGCACTTCTAAGCGATCATACGTCCCATGGGCACCCCGAACCATCAACACCTCGTTACCCCGATCTAATGCAGCACTGCACGCTACATAGAAATCAGGATCTCGAAAGTGAGAAGAAACGCGGGTCGCCTCACTAGCTCTCAGAGAGAAATCCGACTGCAATCCAATAACAACGATCTCCGCATCAGAGACTATGAGATCCCCAAGAGTCGTTCCCGCAAAAGCGTTGTTCTTCTTCTTATCAATCACTGGCTCGTTAGGCAACGGGGGGTTGACGAGCTCCCATCCTGGCGTGTTTGGTTCGTCGGGCTCTCCCACATCCCCTGCAGTGCGAATGTGGATTATCAATGGTGGTGGATTTGCGGACCGCGCAGTCTCTAGTATCTGCGTGATGTTCCTGCTAACTGTTTTTGAGGCGGGGATTCCCGTAGGTGGAGGGGAGAGCGCGGCCTTTTGAGCATCTAGGATAAGGAGTACTCTGCGTGTATTTCCCGGCATCGCAGTTTCAAGTTGGAGGGCAAGACGATTTAGATCTGATGCGACAGAAACTTTATACACCATTGGGACAGAACACTGAAACGTGTTGTACCTGCAAATCACAGGCTCGATATCGTTCATCCATCCATGTTGGGGTTAATCAAAGCCCGAAGCCAATAGATGTTGCGGAGGGGATCAAATGTCACAGGAGTGGGAGACATCCTTCGGCAAAACTACCTAAACAAGGCAAAGATTAGTCCTACGCCCTGTAGTCAGTCCAAGGTTTGCACTTCGAAGATAAGTAATGAATGTACTTCTCATGGAAACAGGGTGACGGAGGCCGTCTGACGATGCGGCGTGCCGGACCACAACACTCAAACGTTTAAAGCTTGCTCTGGGTAACGATGTCACATGTCGAATTCTCGCAAGAGCGCAGAAACCATCGAAGTTCTGATGGTGATAGCGGCAATGTAGGCCCAAACCCCGGATTTTGGCCGGAAAGTCTTCTACTTATGAAGAGAGACACCCTAGCTCCAAGTTTTGTGGCGGTCGAAGAGTCGAATGCTGCATATAGATAGTCATAAATGATTACAAGACTCCACCGGCCTTTCGTAGAAGGGGTGCGGAGTGAGATGCTTAGTGTGCGGATATTCCTTGGGCCGGTTCATATTGAGACTTTAATAGATCTATTCGCTGTAAGACAAGTACCTGGTCACCGTCCAGTTGTTAGCCAAACGCCTGGTCCCCGTATCTCACACTCACGGAAATACAGTAGCAAACGACAATCATCTGGACGGTCTACTTGGGAGAACTTCTCTCGGTCTGAACGACATGAGCGCTCGGATAGTGGGCGGAAGGTAATCGGAATGGATAGCACGTACCGGATAGCCTAAGGTTTCTTGCAGGTCTTCTTGTGCTTCGGCCAGTCCAAAGCCTGGCAAGCACGCAGCCCCGGCAGGCAGTACTGAACCTTTTTGCACTTCCCACAGCGTGCCAGTGTCGTGCTCTCCCCCGTCCGTGCACATGTCGCACAACACGTATCTCCTAGTGCTTTCCTTCTGGCATCCTCCGCATCCACGAGCTTCGTGATTTCTCTCAACGCCGGTATCTTCCGCAATGATGTCGTAATGGTCATTCGAACAGTCCATCCATCCTCGTCGGCGAGATCAATATTGCCACCGTGCTGCAAAAACCAATACAATGCAGTGTGAGCACGACTGACAGCGCCGCGGTCGTCGGGCTTGTAGACTTGGACAATCTCTTGTGCGACAGTCGACCCGTAGCGGTTACGAGAGTTAACATCTCCGCCAGCATCGTAGAGAATTTGTGCATACTCGAAGTCAAACCCGGGTTTCGTAGAGAAGCAATGTGATAGTGCACGGGTGCCAGAAAGGTCTGTTCCGTCTACCGGGACCCGAGCCGTTTTAATGAGATACTTCGCGATGCTAATATATGAAGTCCGTTCTGGAGGGTAGAGAATCGTAAACAAGCCAAGAAGGTTGTAAATTGGAACTCGGGTAGGGCCCCAGTGCATTTGATAGAGTTCGTCAGCCGCAGCAGCACGGGCGGCCTCTTTACATGCTTCGAGATTCTCGGGCGACATGGAGGCGATTTTGAGGTATCGATCCACTCGCGTATCAAAATTTTCACGTACTCTGATGACGTCGGCGGTAGCAAGTAGCATACCGTAGGTATCGAGGTCGCGATTAGGGACCATCGCCCGAGTAGTACAGTACGTCCTCAGGCGCTGAGATTCTTGTCCTTTCAGCATTTCCCGAGTTTTTATGAGATCTTCTATGGGTCTACCTCGGATTTCAGAGATGTTTCAGGGAAGAAAAAGAGCCTGACGAACCTCCCTTCTCCTGTGTCTACGGAACGAAGGACATTCATGACTCCTGCGCGAGTGGCTGGATCCAAATAATCCATGTTGAGCAAGGTGTCATGTTGGTCGATGAAGAAAAAAATGGATTTCCATTCTAATTTATATCAGACGCGCAGCTCACGTGCATGTGGCTGTACAGTATCCAATTTGGTACTCGGGCACGGGTAAGGCATGCCCGATGCTGCTTGGTGATTCTATGCTTGAATTCCTGCGTTTCATCAGGAGGGT